GTTCATAGAGTTACCGGAGGCATGTTATTTAGGAAGTGGATGCCACTTCTGCTTCCAAAATTACATGCAAAACACTACCTTTTAACTCTTCAGTTGCTTTTCTAATATTTACAATGTGTACCTTGCTACTTTCTCTTTTGTTTATACAGTGATGCTGTTGATTTCAGAATGATCATTCTGTTATAAATAATACTACAAATATTTTTTTTGGCCCCAATCATTTGTTATTTTATTCAAATAAATGAAGAAGAGCTCTACACTTTGTTGACACTTTCTCTTAAAATTAAGCAAATTCACCACTCCGTTTTGGTAGTTAGCCCATTTGTTAATATGCTGAGATGAGCTTGGTTCCATCTGCCCCCTTCACACCTTCTTCCTGAAGAACCAACTTTTCGGGTAATGTACATGTGGTAGGTTCCCTGAACTTGACCATGATTCCTCGCAACTCTAAACAACAGATCGAAGCTGTGCTCTATCCTGTGCCATCCTCACAGTCCCCACGATACTCAAGGCCATTGTTGTAGTCACTGTATCAGTTGATCTCATTGAAGAACTTTTGTTACTTCTGTGTTTCCCCCCTCCACATGATGTCTTTTGCCACAGGCCAACACTTCCTGACAACATCCCCAGATTATGAGAGACAAAATTTTACCATCCTCGCTTCTAAGCAGCACCCTGGTTGTACGTCCTCCAAGAGATTTGTTTGTTCTTTTGACAGTTCTTGGTATATTCAGTACTCTTCAGCATCACAATCCAAGGCATCAGTTCTTCAGTCCTCCTTACTCATTGTCCAGTTTTCATAAGTGTACAGAGCAACTGAAACTACTATGGATTGGGTCAGGCACACCTTAGTCTTCACACTAACATATTGTTCCTCAGCACTTAAGGAGATCCTGAGAACAGGTTTGTCCAGTGCAACATGTCTGTTGATTTCTTAACTGCTATTACCATGGACATTGACCATGGATGCAAGTAAAATTAAACCCATTACAACATCAGTCTTTTATCCATTTTCTTGATGTTGCCTGTTGGTCCAGATCTTGGTATTTTTGTTTTCTTTGTGTTAAACTGTAATCCATACCGAAGGCTGTAGTCTGCTCTTCAGTAAATGCTTCAAGTTGTCTTCCCTTAATAAATGCAAGGTTGTGTCATCTGCATAACTCAGGTTGTTGGCAAGTCTTCTTTCATTTTGATGCCACAGTCTTCTTTAGATAGTCCAGCTTCTTAACTTACTTGCTCAGCATACAGATATTACAGATATGGAGAAAGGATACAACCCTGATGGACATCTTTCCTTACCTTAAATCTTAAAATGTCCCTATGTCCTGGTTGAATGACTGCTGCTTGGTGTATGTATAGGTTTTGAACGAGCACATTAAGTATTCTGCAATTCCTCTTCTCAATGTTAGCCATAATTATTTTGATCCACACAGTCAGATGTCTTTGTGTAGTCAGTAAAATAACAACTTTCTGGTATTTGCTTTAATCCAGGATCAATCTGACATTAGCAATGATAACCTTTCTTCCATGGCCTCTTCTTCAGCTTTGGATTTCTGGCAGTTAGTTCCCTGTTAACATACTGTTCTGTTTTTAAATCTTCAGCAGAGTTTTACTTTGTGTGATATTCTTGATACTGTTCCATAATTTCTACTCCCTTGGGTCTTGGTTTTTTTTTTGTTTGTTTGTTTTTTTAAATAAGAACAAATATAGATCTCATCCAGTCAGTTGATCAAGTAGTTGGCTTCCCAACTTCTTGGCTTAAACTAGTGGTATAGATGTCCAAGGCTCCATCTGTTTGCTGAAACAGATTGGTACCCTATCAATATCCAAGACCTAACTTTTTTCCCATTACCTTCAGTGCAGCTTGTACTTCTGTCAGTATCATTGATTCTTTTCTTTCCAGTTCTTTTTGGTACAATGAGCCTATATATTTTTTTCCATCATTTTTTGATGCTTCCTGCATCCTTTCAGATTTTATGCATCAAGACCTTCAGTGTTTGGATTTTTTTTCTGCAGGTCTTTCAGCTTGAGAAGTGCTGTGTGTATTCTTCTCTTTTGGTTTTGTCACTTCAGCTGTTTGTACTTTTTTTTTTACAAACGTAATACCGTTTATTTAACTTCAAAAACATTTCCGCATTCTAAAACATACAAAAAAATGAACAGAACATTGCAAACTGTGTTTAAGTACAGAAGGTTCTGGAACTTCCATGGATGCAGTGGCTCTTCATTTTGTTGACACTGAAGAGCTCTACACTTTGTTGACAAAGAAGGTTTAAAAACAACTGCACTTAACAAAAACAAAAACTCCCCAAAATCCAAATACTTTTTTCATGCCAGCCGAGCCCCCCCCCTTCCACAGCTAATGGTAGCAGATGCTATGTCACTATATACAAAAACCAGACAACCTGAAGTTACATGGATGCCCAGCGCAGTGTCAACAGGTCAGCTTCACAGTGCGTGCCCTGAGCTCCGGCCCCCCAACGGGCATCTTTCCCCCACCCCCAGCCTCAACGCCAAACATGGACTACCAAGAGTTTCTCTTGGTTCTTTTGTCATTTTTACAAACTCTAGATATGTACAGCTGAAAACTCGGGATTCCCAGCCAACAACCATAGTTACCACCATCTTACAAATTAAACCAATGGGGAGGGGGATGTCGGAAACATCTTTAAATGCCTTGTCACACCAGCAGCAAAGTGCACAGTGAGGAGAACACTACGGTGCCTTCCCATTGTAAAAATGCCTGGACATATGTACAGCTTTGAGACAGTTTCCGCGTGCTCCAGACACCCATGGCCACTTCATGGAAACTACTTCTAGAGCACTTTGAAAAGACTACAAGATGATCATGATCCAATTTTGTAATTAAACCTAATGAGGGCAACAGACAGGTCTCAAAGAGACGCAGCAATTACAGCGGCCCCTACACTAAGGTATTCACAAGGAAATAGAGAAACTGGGGTTTTATTCATCCTCCTCCTCCTCCTCCTCTTCTTCCTCTTCCTCCTCTTCCTCTTCTTCCTCCTCCTTGTCCTCTTCATCCTCCTCTTCCACCTTTTTCCGGGCTACTTTAGCAGGGCCCTTCGCGCCATCAAACTTCCCCTTGGACTTACAGTCAGCGACATCCTTATCATACTTCAGTTTTGCCGCCTTGTTGATGTAAGACTGCTTCTCGCCATCACTCAGGTTATTCCACATCTCACCCAGCTTCTTGGCCACATCACCAATAGAGATGCCAGGGTTTGTTGACTTGATCTTAGGACGAAACTCAGAACAGAACAAGAAGAATCCAGACGGAGGCCGTTTGGGGGCATTAGGGTCCTCCTTTTTGCCTCCTTTTGCTGGCCCGTAGTCCTTCATTTCTCTGTCATAACGTACCTTGCCGGCCTTGGCCATCTCATCGAACTTGGCCTTTTCTTTTCCAGACATAGTCTTCCACCTCTCGGAGCACTTCTTGGAGAATTCAGCAAAATTGACTGGAACCTCTGGGTTTTTCTTCTTATGTTCTTCTCTGCACGTCTGCACAAAGAAGGCATATGCAGACATTTTGCCCCTTGGTTTCTTAGGGTCACCTTTAGCCATCTTAACACGAAACACGAAAGGCTTCTTATGCTTTGGAGGCTTCAAGGGAAGGAGGTCCTGCTCTTCCGTCTCCAACTCCACCTCTGCTCCAGAGAAAGTGTCTTCTTCCATGGAGCTGGAGCACGTGGTCTGAAGCTGAGACGTGCTTTCCTCGTCAGAACCCTGCTGTAGGGTGCTTTGACTAGCCATCTCGACACCGGGGCTCCCTGCAGAGCGTTGAGGGCCCAGCAGTGACTACGCAGCAGCTCTGTTTGTACTTTTTGTTACAATTGCTTTGTCTCCTCCGGTGCCCTTTGAAATTTTTTGTTCTGGACTCTTACTTGATCTTCCTATCATTTTGACTTTTCTACATTGACAGGCAAGTTTTAAAATCATCTCCCATCGATTTTGGTCTTTTATTTTTTTATCTTTGTAGTAACCTTTTGTTTTTTTTCATGAATGATGTCCCAGAAGGCATCCTCAGCTTCTCTGGTCATGGATGTTCAATACTTCACCTCTTCCATTTCTTAAGATGATTTTTACATTCAGGTGAGATAAACTTACAGATAACTATGTCTCATGATCATTTTACTATTGCCCAGCTTCAGTTTGAACCTGGATATGAGCTGATGGTCTCTTCTGTTGTCAACCCCTGAACTTGTTTGTCTGCTGATACCGCACGCTTTTCCACCATCTCTCTTCACAGATGCAGTCAGTCTGGTTCCTGCATATTCTGTCAAGTGAGAGTTGTGTCTATAGTTGATGTTTATGATGTTTTGTTGTGTTTTTTTAAAAAAAGTGTTGACAGTGAATAAATCATTGTACAAAGTTCTGTTATGTGGTCCCTGGCCTCATTTCATTTATTGGAGACGCCATCATAAACCAATTCACACTGACATGTTAATGCAGTATCATAATAAGAAAATGGGTTTCCCCTATACCTTAAGTTACGTCAGGAGTCTACAAGCCAGGATTGTTACTTGAAGACATTTGTTGCGCCTAGAGAGGCAAGGCATGCCTGGTTGCATCTAAAGAAAGTTTCTGAACGCACAGGACTTACTCAAGGTGTTTGTGAACTGATAAAGCTCAGACCTTGCCCAGTGAAGACAGTACCTGACCAGGACTTGGAGCAGGATCTCGAGGCACTGTGGCGTGCAGGCTTGCTAGGTGCTGGTGATCCAATTCTGACTGTACAGCAGAGGGAAATAGGCCCTGTCTCAGGCTCTCTCACAGTTGCTTCTCTGTGAAGGGCCTTCGCTGACACTGTAGGGAACTCTGTGGAGCAGGGTTTCTGCATCTGGATTTTTTAATGGCAGTTACTATCAGACTGCCCCTGGGTACTTGAAATCAGGAATAAAGAAAAGGTATGACTTTTGCTTCATGGAGAGAAAAAGAAATGAGAAAGACAAGATGAGAGTGAAAGCCAAAACCTGTGTTGAATGAATTCTGAAGAAGTGATCTGTTCTAATAACAGCATTGCACGTAAGAAGTCCTGGTTTCTAGTCTTTACAAAGTATGTGACATTGAAAGAAAAATTCCAACCTTACTTGCTCATTATTAAAAATGGCACTATCATAAAAATACATGTCTAAGCCAAGGGCTTGAGAATAAAAGCCAGAGTGTGACCACTAAATCCCAATGTCATGCCATGTGCTCTATAAATACCTGTTGACTCAGTGAGAAGGAAGCATTTGATAAATCCTAACGCACAATGTTATAGAGGATGGAAAGGTCAATGATGATGTTGAGCAGGAAACTAACAGAGAAAGATTTGTCATCTTTCTGTGAATTCCCATGTTTATTAGAAGAAATTGTGTCCTTCGGAAAGGACACTGCTTCAAGTGTAGGAGAAAGTGTCTAAAAGTTGAACTAAAATTAGCATTTACTGTTTGGAGATAGTGTTGTAAATGCCAGTTCCTGGTCATTGAACATACAGATTCAAGTCTTTCTGAGAACACCTTGTAGTGGGGACTCAGGATAGTGAGCCACTTCTCAGTGAGTGCTACGAGATTGGGGTTATCCAGGGCATGAGGACTTGAGTCACTGCACCAAAAATAGAGTTGGGTTTTTGAAGTGATCTGCGAAAGCTATCTGGGGAGATTTCAAGCCTGGTTTTTGAAGTCTTAGGTCTCCAGGGCTGTGTGTTCCCTATATATAATGCTCAGAAGCTAAAGGTATAATTTTCCCTTTGTATTTTATTCACTTAAAGGAAAATATGGGGCTTTATGATAGAATTTAAGAGTAATGTTAGGTTTAAGTTTAGAAGCAAAAGTGGAAGGGAAGTGATCTTGCTGGGAAAGTTAAGAGCTTTGAGCCCAAATGGAAGCATGACAGAGTCAGTACTTGTTCCTAAATAGGATTTGTACACACCTTGAGATTTTTCTTAGACTCTCTGTTCCATTGAGTCAGGCATTCCAAATAGCTTTGGCTTGCTTGGATATTTATGTCCTGGTGTTTGACTGCTTTTAATTAGCTTTGTTGTCTAGTGAATGAGGTTTGGTGTGGAGTTTTTGTCCATTAGGAAATGTATAAAATAATAAATACTTCACAGCTTGCACTACCATTGGATAATTTCATTTATGTTCAATCAGTGTTTCTTTTGGAAGCACCTACTTTGGTCACGTCATGTAATGTGATATTAAATATAGACTGTTTGAAAAGGCTTATTCTGGGTTTTTATTGTAATCAATTATATTCAATTACAGAAGCACATTTGATATGTTCAAATGGCGGCTTAGAAAGACTACATGGGTTTTTGTTAATTTAGTGTGGAAAACTATGAGTCACTGAATTTTTTTAACTGTATTTATAAACTTATGCTTTAAAAATGTTCAGGTTTCCCATTTAGAATGAATTAAGACCAACAGAGGACGCACATGCAGAAATAATATTTTTTTTTAAAAAAAGACCCATGGGAGAAAATACCCCTAATAATAAGTGTTAATACTTAATATATTATTAGGCATAAATGTTCGTATGCAGTTGGAATCCACCAGCTGCTTCAAGGGAGAATGGTGGGCCATCTCCAGTATGATTCACAGCCTCTGAAAACCCACTGGAAGGTTAGCTACGGATCAGTTCTGACTTGACAGCACATAACGACATTCTACAAGACAGTGTTTCACATCCTGCATTTGTGAGACTCGACTGTTGTCTAAAAACCCTGTGATCGGCCATCAAAGGTGCAACAAAGAAGAAAGAAAGAAAAGACTATAAATCCAAAGGCCTAATGGACCATGTGACCGGAAGAACTGGACAGGGCCAGTCACCACTGTGAAAGGGGGCACAGTGGGAGGAGGAAAATGTAAAACAAAACTCAAAATCCTTTAAATGATGACAAAACTCATGCTTCCTGGTCTGAAAGAGACTGACAGCCTCCTGAGATGATGGCCCCTAGTCGCCCTCCAAGCCTGGAGCGGAAGTCACCCCAGGATTCACCTCCCGGACAATACAGGATCCAGAGGACGGCGTCTGCCCACGGGTCAGGCTCAGAAGGAGGAATGAAAATCAACATGCAGGACTGTGTGGAGAACACTTGTACTATTTAGGAGTTACAGTGTCAGAAAATACATAATGTGTATGAGTTGTTGAATGGAAAACCAATTTGTAAATATTCATTCAAATCACAGTAAAAAGTTTAAAAATTTTTTTAAGACTCATCTACCCAGATGTGACCACTTAACAAATTTTCAACAAAGATTTCTCTTGACCTCTGCTGTAGTAGATGTTTATGAAGCCAGATCAAAACTAGATTCTAGTAGTCAATTATCCCCCTGGGGCAAATACCTTCTCCTTTCTAGTAGTCTGATTAACTCCACTGCAAGCCCCCAGCATCCCCTGACTTGGACATTCCAGGAAAGAATGGCCCAGTGCCAAACTGGTTGCCTGGGTCTCATCTGTAAGGTTGTACACTATGGGAGTATGCCAGGCTTGAGGAGGAAGGGACTCGGGTGGCTGAAACCCTCTGGGATTTCAGGGCACCAGATGAACATTCTGTCACCCAGCTGTCAAGGCTGTCAAAGTGTAAAAGTAAGAGACTGAAGCCTGCAGAGCCTACGCTTTACATGATGGTATGAGAAGAGCTGATTAAGGAAGAGTGGTAAGTCTTCCACCCAAATTGCTAATAGGTGATTTGAGAGCCTGTTTGTAGAATCAAGTGAAAGTTTAACCTAGAGGACTTGGTACTGTGCCTGGCAATGTCGCCTGTGTTGTTGTTAGTTCTTGTTTGGTGCCATTGAGTCAACTCCAACTCTGTGACCCTGTCCCTGCGCCATCCTCACAATCTACCCTGGACTTAATCCCATTGTCACGGTCACCATGTCAATCCATTTGATTTGAAGAAGGCCTTCCTCTCCTTCACCAACTCTCCACCCTCATAGGGACTGACCTTTCCTGACAACATGCCCAAAGTATGTGAGATGAAGCCTCACCAGCCTTGCCTTTAAGGGGAACCCTGGTTGTACTTCCTTTAAGACAGTTTGTACCTTTGACTGTCCAGGGGATATGCAATGTTCTCTGCCAGCACCACAGTTCAAGAGCATCTTCCTTATGCTTTTATGCCTTCAGAACTTAGATGGGCTGGCTGGACGGAAGAGGCACAGCTCACAGTATTTGGGCAGCGCCCTGGTGGGTAGACAGGCTGATTTAGTTGGTGTTTTCATACCTGTCCCTAAGGGAGACAGAGTCCCATGTATTAATTATCACTTAGATTTTCTCTGGGCTTCACGGACTTCTCCTGAGACAGCTCTGGGGGATAATGTGAAGATGATCTCATGGTTTTTTTCCACTACCGGCGCCTTTAACTCCCTACAGGATTCCCAGCCTCTTTGTCTAGATGAGGTAAATAAAGCTGCTCCAATTGCTAACAGCTACAAGTTTCAGGGTAATTTTATGTGTGTGTTGATCCTATTTAAAAAAAAAGTCTTTGTTAATATACATTTTGTGTGACATAATATGCTAATGATGAATAAGACAATCTTAAAAAATGAGTCTTGGCCCCTGCCGGGAGGCCGACAAGGAAGTTGCTGGCTGAA